TATTTATTTATTTATTTATTTTTGGTACCAGGGATCAAACTCGGGACCTTGTGCTTGCCAGGCAGGCTCCGGAACCACTGAGCTAAATCCCCAGCCCCCCTTTATTTTTATTTTGAAATAATGTCTTGCTAAATTGTCCTAACTGTCCTTGAACTTATTTAGGATCCTCCTGCTTCGCCTTCGGGAATAGCTGGGATTACAGGTGTCACCGAACCTGACTCTCATTTATTCATTTTTTTTTTGGAGAGCTGGGAATGGAACCCAGAGCTTCGCAAATGCTAAGCAAGCATTCTACCACTGAGTTACTTCCTCAACTCTTTTTATTTATTTGTTTGTTTGTTTGTTTATTTTTCAGTACCAGAGATCAAACTCAGGATCTTGTGCTTATGAGGCAGGCACAGCGCCACTGAACTAAATCCCTGGACCTATTTATTTATTTATGTGCTTGCAAGACAGGTGGTGGAACCACTGAGCTAAATCCCCAGCTTATTTATTTTTATATATTTATTTATTTTGAGATAGGACCTTCCTAAATTGCCTAAGCCTCAAATTTGCAATTCTTCTGCCTAGGCCTCTGGAAGAGCTGGGATTACAGGTGTGTGTCAGTGTGCCTGGCTTTCTTTTTTTTTTAGGACTGGGAATAGAACCTTGGGCCTCACACATGCCAGGTAAGTGTTCTACCACCAAGCTGCACTCTCACTTCCCCTTTTTTTCTTTCTCCCAGCCTCTACCCCTTTTCTCAAACCCTGCCCCATCTTCTGTAACTCTCTTACTCCCCCTGCTGAACCTTCCCTGGGCAGCAGTGGCCAATCCAAGGCCAGAATGACAGACAACAAAATTTCATCTTGATCTGGGAGACAGAAGGTTGGAATCTGAAAGGGCATAGATTCTGGAGACGATGGGATTCTGGCTTTCAGAAGGTGTATCTGTATCAGTATGTGTTTGTGGGTGCTGCCTGGACCTCAGCCTAAATTATTACCTCCTGAAGGAATTCCTTCTTGACTCTCAGATTGGGTTATGGCCTCCTAGTCTCCAAACTTTCACAACTTTCTGATTGTTCTTTTATAGAATGTATCAGTTTTCAATTAGCCACCTATTTGTCAGACAAACCTTCATTTCCCAGGTGTCTGTAAGCACCAAGAGGGTTGTTTTCTTTGTTCTTCAACAAATCTCAGTGCTTAGCACAGGGCCTGGCCCATTGCTGGCACACAGTAAATACCTGCTGAATAAATGAATGAATCATATTCAAAAGGGTTTTAATTGAAGATATCAGTGTCATTGCTTGAGCTCTAGGGGCAGCTATGAGTCCAGATATCCTAGCTTCTGCTCAGGGCCCAATCCATGTCCAGCTTCTGTCCTTGTACCCAAAGGCCATTCAAGCAAAAGGAGGCAGAAGAGTCCTCTCCTAGAGGGAGAGGGCACTGAGGTGGGATTAGAATATTAAGTTGGTTTGGATACAGAAGCTCCCCCACGTCTTCAGTTTTTTAACCTAAATTTTCTAAAGCACTTCCTCCCATTGCCCCCTATCTTCTTATTTTTCTTTTTTCTTTTTTTTTTTTTTTTTTGGTATCAGGGATCAAATTTGGGACCTTGCACTCTCAAGGCAGGCGTTGGAACCACTAAGCTAAATGACCAGCCCCTTATTTTTCTTTTTACTGAGGTGCTGGAGATAAAACTCAAGGCCTCATGAAGGCTAAGCAAACAATGCCACCTAGCCCTATCCCCTCTCTTCTGTGTCCTTTTCTTCTCTCCCAGAGATTTCCTTCCTCTCAAAGTGTGGCCCCTTCTTTGCTGGCTCCCTTGGTATGCTGAGGAATCGAATAGCATTCTCTTACCTGGTAAAGCTCCCAGGAAGAGGCGGCCCTGCAACTGGGTCCAGAGCTTGAGGACGGGGGCAAGGTCCTCAGGAAGCATAGCAAAGACCTCCGTCTTTGACCCCTGCTTTAAGACCACTGTGGATGCAGCCAGCTTCAGCTGAAGAAGGAGTCCCAAGGCCATGGGCAGCTCTAGCCTTGGCCTTGCCCCAGAAGACAGTACCACCTGCTGCAGTGTGAGGGGACAGGGACAGGAGGAAAGAAGGAAGAGTGAGCCACACTGACTCCTTGTGGCCCCACCCCTTGCTCTTGGCACATCTCCAGCTACTGGCTGTTCTCACCATTTAAATCCTGCCCTGTGATTCCCATTGGACCCTCTAGGACAGCATCCCCACCCCCAAATAAGCAAACACTCTAAGTAAAAGCTGTTTGCTAGCTATGGGCAGCTTCAACATAGGTCCTTGGCTTCCTCCTGAACTTAAACTCAATTGTGTGTTTAAATGAGCTGCACTTTGGCTCTGACCTCTTCTCTCTTCTTCCCAATTTAAGCCTCTCTGTCTCTCTCTCTGTCTCTCTGTCTCTCTCTCTCTCTCTCTCTCTCTTTGATATTAGGAATTGAACCCAGATCCTTCACACTGAGCTACACTCTTTTTAAATGGGGGAGGGGGACAGAGATTTAGCTCAGTGGTGCCAGCGCCTGCCTGGCAAGTGCAAGGTCCTGAGTTCGATCCCCAGTTTCGCAAAAAAAATTGGTAGTGGGGGAGCAGGGAGACAGGGTGTCACTAAATTGCCTGGGTTGGGTTTGAATTTGAGATCCTCCTGCCTCAGACTCCCAGAGTGCTGAGATTAGAAGTGTGTGCCACCAAGTTTAGCTAAGCCTTCCTAATATTGAAATCTTGGGGCCCCCCCTTTGCCTCATTTCTCCCAGCCTTCTCTGAATACAAGCAACACCCACCCTCCCCCTTTACTTGATCTTGGAGGTGAAGGCTGAGCCAGGAAGAGTTCTGTTGTGCACCAAGGCCAAGAAGGTGACCTGATCCAGCTGCCAGTTTGAGTCCCAGGTCCAGGGAGAAGGCCCAGGGCTCTGAGTGAGGCTGGGGAATGTCTGGGGGAAGAAATGATCCTCCTGAAGCCTCAGCCTGGGGCTTCATGGAGAGAAGGGCCTAGTGCTAGACAAAGACAGAGGAGGACAGCTGGCCCGAGAAGGAAAACCAAACTCCAAGAAGTCTACCTTGGAGACTGAATTCAGCCCGTGTCCCTGGAGGGAAAAATAGCCCAGGTTGCAACTCCACGTTACAGCTTCTGAGGCCAGTGGAGACAGAGGCTGAGGGCTGAGTCTGCTGGCCCAGCCAGCACTCCCGGCACACGCAGCCATCCAGGGCAGGGACCAGCTGGAGGGAGTGAAGGAGATAGGGGATGTCGGGATCAGAGACAGTACATTTAAAGCCCAGTCTCAGCCTCCCCGCCCTTGGTTAATTCCCCTCTGAGACACAAGCACCTGGCTTCCCCCATCCAGCTGGCATTCCATTCCCTTTCCCAAAAGCTGGACTTAGATTCCTATGGCATGGGCCTCCATTCCCATCCCCATGATGTAGTTACCAGTAACAGAAGGTTGGAGGTAGGAAAAAGCAGCCCCCCAGTACAATCCTCATGAGGGGCTTTGGTTGGTCAGCCAGGGGCCCATACACCTGTCTCAGGCACAGCATCTCATCCCCATCCACCCACAGTAGCACTGAGTCCCCAACGATCTTAACCTCCACCTGCGGAAGGAGGTGAGAAGCATCAGCAGAGACCCTGGAACCTGAACCACCACTCTCCTCTGCCTAGTCTGGTTGAAAGAACATGTGCTTGAAGAGGCAGCTACCATCCTTGACTCCTTCAGACCTTATCACTTATCTATTGTGTAGATGGGATGAGATGACAACGGCAAAACAATGTGCAGCTACTTGTTCCTATTCTCTTCCTCAGACCAGCTCAAAATAAGACTCCCCTCCCCCGTAGGAGCAGAGCTAGCTTACCTGGTGCCATTTTCCCTCATCCAGCCGAGGTCCCACACCCACGGTAAGCTGGCCCCAGTGATTGTGCAGTTGGATCTCAAGCCTGCCATCCCGAAGTCCCAGCATGAACCAGTCTTCTTCAGTGTCAGTGTCCCCATAAAAAATCACTCCCTCTGGGTCCCAGGCACGAAACTCAAAGGAGGAGGAGGTTCTAGAAGGGCACAGCAGAAGGGAAGCCTGTGTGTATGGTGGAGCCTTTGAGGGTTGGGGGTGGTAGAGTTCAGGGAGAGCAGGCAGGAAAACAGGGAAAGAGAAAGAGCTGATACAGACAGGATAGGCTCTTGGGGCTTGGTGGGGATGCTAAATGAACCCGTACTTGGTGATCTTGGTGAAGTCAAAGGTCATGACAGCAACAGGTCCTTGTCCTGGGCCACTGCTGAGGTACCTAGAAGGAGGGTCTTGGGCCCTCTGTGAGAAAGAGAAAATAAACAAACTGGACAAAAGAGATATCAAAGACACAGAGAGAGAGAGTGAGTGAGTGAGAGAGAGAGAGAGAGAGAGAGAGAGAGACAAAGAAAGACAGACAGACTGCTACAGGGCCGGAGGAGAAAAGAGAGGGTGCCAAAGTACAGCTCATTTAAACACACACATGGGCTAAGGACCCTCAGCCCTTGTACCTGGGTGGAGAGAATGTGTCCCAAGGCCCATCCCTGATGGATGTAAGGTGGTGACAGCAACAGCAGCAGCAGCAGCAACAGCAGCCAGTATGAGGTGGCTGGTGGACCTCTGCTCTCCATAGTCACCTGCAGACCAATCTGTGGCTCAAACACAGAAGAATGAATGGGTGTAGGCAGCCTCATGTATAAGTAATGGAGGGTTAAAGGTTGCCCTTGGGAAGGACAGGGCCAGAGACAGGGACACTGATCCTGCAGCCCCTCTGAAAGCAAATGGGAAAAGGGGCAGAGTCCCTCCATTACCATCCCCCACCGAGGAGAACTTTATGAGCTGGGAGCCCATGGCATCTTACTTCCCTACTCCTCCCCTAGAGCCTGACCTGGCTCTTGCAAGCATTTTGCTCACCTGGGAAGGAGAGGATCTTCAGAGATCTGAGAGCCTGTCCTGCTCAAGTCACATCCTCCAGCAGGGCTAGAGATGAAACGTGGAATCCCAAGTATTATCCTAAGGGTCCTTGGGCAAGTCACTTCACCTTTGTGCTTTAGTGTCCTTGTCCGTCAAATGAGGAAAATAGTTCTTTCTTAATGGGACTGCTGTGAATGAGGGTTAATTGTGATATAGCCGGCACAGTGCCCAGTATCTGGTGAGGACTCCTCCAGTTTTCCCAGGACTCTGAGGCTTGCTTCTCTCACAAGAAAGTATTGTCTCTGCTTATAATTTGATAGATATTAAGAAGGGACCTGCCCCTACTCCCAATGATCTCTCTTATCAGTTGATTGCAGGGCCTAGTGATCTACCAGTAGAAACTTATCACCCTCTTTTTCCCTGACCTATTTTATTTTTGTTTTTTGAGAAAAGATGTTGCTATATAGTTCAGCCTGGCTTTAAACTATGTAGTCCAGGCTGTCCTCAAACTCATGGCAATCCTCCTGCCTCAGTCTCTCCAGTGCTGAGATTATAGGCACGTGCCATACGCTCAGTCTCCCTGACCCATTTTTGTTATTGTTGTTTGCTTTTTGTTTTTGTTTTTTTTTAAACAGGGTCTCGCTACCCAGTTCAGGCTGACCTTGAACTCACTATGTAGCCGAGGCTGGCCTCGAACTTGCAGTGATCTTCCTGCCTCAGCTTCCCAAATGCTGGGATTACAGGTGTGTGCCTCCATGCCTGGCCCTTCCTGACCAATTTTAAAACACAAGTGTCCCTGATAGAAGAAACACATGAAGCTCAACTGCTGTAGAAAACAGGACTGGGGGTGTAGCTCAGTGGTGTACATGTACGTAGAGGTCCTGGGTTAGATCCCCAGCACCTCAAAACAAAACAGAAATGCAGGAAACACCTGTTAGAGCAGGGGGTTCTGGAGGCTCACCCGGGTTTTGGATGGGCCTGAATGGGTGGAGCGAGTGAAAGCTAAATCAGATAGTCAATCTCTGCATACATCATTTCACGTCGGGAATGACTTTTAAACCAGGATATCCCTAATGGAGGCAGGCACAAGCTTTGACCTCTGCCCTGGGCCCTGTCACGAGTCCTGGTGTTGGAGGCGGAGCTGGGGAAACGAGGCTGAGCCTATTCTGCAAGCTGATTGGCTGTCAGGTGTGCGCCTGCAGGGACAGAATTTAGGGGCTGTTTCGGCGGTGACGGCCGGCGGAAAATTCTCTCAGTTCTTCTACCTGGCCAGCCCCAGAGCTCAGCTGGGAACCCGTGGGATCTCCGCTGTCCCTCCCTCCCGGCTTTTTAGGATCCGAGTTTCTAGACCCTTTGCCCGGCGATTCAGAACGGAAGTGGTGGTCGTTGTCTCTGGTCCACTCGGTGGGGATCCGGATGGCTTTCGTGCAGATCCGAGCAGCCAAGGAGGGAGACTGTGGAGACATCCTGAGGCTCATTCGGGTGAAGAAACCAGCGTGAGGGAGAGGGTGTCAGGGTGGCCCCATTGGAGCTGGGCAGTGGGAGGTGGGACAGGGTAGGGCTGGGCAGGGCCTTAGGCACTGCTGGGAAACAGCGGGCCCCCGCCCTGACCGCGCCTCATCCTCACACCGCCATAGAAACTGGCTGAGTACGAGAAACTCTCGGATCAGGTGAAGATCAGTGAAGAAGGTGGGTGCTCTGCACTCGGGCACTGGGGAGGAAATGAGACATGTGTTCCCTGGTCAGCAGCTCCTGGCTGGACATACACCCAGGTCGTCTCTCTGTGTCTTCATCCCTCCAATCTCTGTAGCCCTTAGAGCAGATGGCTTTGGAGAGAATCCTTTCTATCACTGTTTGGTAGCAGAGATTCTTCCAGCACCTGGGGAGAGACAGGGTAAGAGCACCTCTTCAGTTGGCTTTAGAGATCTCCCATGCAGTGTTCCAGAGAAAGACCTTACCCCTCTTTTTTCTCTTTCCCAGGGCCCAGCATTGTGGGCTATGGACTATACTACTTTATCTACAGTACATGGAAGGGTCGAAACGTTTATCTGGAAGATGTCTATGTGATGCCAGAATATCGGGGTACTGGGCAGTGGCTGAGACCAGAGTGGACACACCAACCCCACAGCCCCCCATCTTCCCCCTCCCCCTGATCACAGCCCATGGCCTTTTCTGACTACCTTCAACTCAAACAATAGTTCTTTTTGTCCCTTTCTCCCCACAATAGGTCAAGGGATTGGTTCCAAAATAATCAAAAAGGTGGCTGAGGTGAGCAGAGAAAGGGGAGCTACAATCCAGGCCCTGAAAAGGCCAGAATATGTGAGGGCCTCCTGGTTGAAGGGGAAGTGGGGAAGTCTTCATTTTTGACCCCAGGACAGTGAGTGATGTCTTCTCCCACAGGTGGCCCTGGATCAGGGTTGCTCCCAGTTCCGCCTAGCAGTTCTGGAGTGGAACAAGAGGGCCATCGACTTGTATAAGGCCCTCGGAGCCCAAGATCTGACCCAAGTGGAGGGCTGGCATGCCTTCTGCTTTGAAGGGGAGGCAATGAGGAAGTTGGGAGGAAAGTGATGCCATTCCTTGGGGACCTCTTTCCACTGGAACATCTCTGTCCCCACCTGCCCAAGCACGCCTCAGAGACATTGACCTACAGGCCTCCTAGAGGAAGAATCCTGGAGGACAGAAAGCAGAATTGAAGGAGAGGCCTTACTAAGGGTGACAAATAAATGAGAATCACCTGTGTCCTGATGTGGTTTTTGGTAGAGGAGGTTTTTGTTTGTTTTTTCCCTTTCCATACTGGGGATCAAACCCAGGGGTGCTCTACCACTGAGCTAAATCTCCTGCTCTTTTTAAAATTTTGAGGTCTCCATACATTGGCCAGGCTAGCTTTAAATTTGCCATCCTTTTGCCTCAGGCTCCCAAGTAGCTAGGATTACACGTGTATGCCATCCCCAGCTAGGTAGAAGAGTGGATGAGATGATAAACTCCAGCTACTTCAAGACCCTTCTTGGTTTTTTAATGTTTGTTGTTTTGTTCTTCTTTGACACAGGGTTTTGCTATGTAGTTCAGACTGGCCTTGAATTCATGGTGATCCTCCTACGTCAGCCTCCCAATGACTGGGTTTACAACTGTGCCACCATGCCTGGCTTTAAGACATTTCTTGTATCAGGGGACAGTGCTCTTAACAGAGGCTGGGACAGCTAGGAAGCCAGAAGTAAGGGGAGGCCCAAGGTGATGTTGACCCTTAGAGGCTAGAATCTTGGCTCTGGCCTGTGGAATATAGAAGAGTGAGGGAGAGCCGGGGATTTAGCTCAGTGGTGCCGGTGCCTGCCTGGCAAGTGCAAGGTCCTGAGTTCGATCCCTGGTACTGAAAAAAAAGAAAGAGAGTAAGGGGACAGGCTTGGCACATGAAGTTGATTGGTCATGTTTGGAGCTCAAAGACAAAAAAGGTCTAGACTGAGCTGTGCCAGATCCAAGACTAAGGTAGGCCTGCAACTCAACAGAGGCACTAGGCTGCCCCCTGGTGTCAGTGTTTCTAGGGGCACTGGGAAGGACCACCAGCTCAACATTTAACAAATCAGCTCAACTAGCTGGGCTTGGTGGCCCACTACTGGGGAGACCAAGGCAGGAGGATGGTTTGAGGCTAAGATTTCCGGGCCAGCCTGAGCAACAAAGGAAGAACCTGTCTCAAAAAAAAAAAAAAAGCAAAGAAAATATAAAAGAAAAAAGTCAGGCACGGTGGAACATGTTTGTAATCCCAGCACACTAGGAGGCTGAGGCAGGAGGACTACAAGTTTGAGCCCAACCTAGCAACTTAGCTAGACTGTGTCTCAAAATGCAAAATAAAAAAAGAACTAGGGTTATCACTATTGTGAAGAGCCTGGGTTCAATCCTCAATACTGTTGATACTGGGGAAAAGCGAGAGAGAGAGAAAGAAAGAGGGAGGAAGGAGAGAAGGAAGGAAGGAAGGAAGGAAGGAAAGGAAGGAAGGAAGGAAGGAAGGACAGACTCAGCTAGCCAGTTTGGGTTTTGTTTTTTGGTTTTTTTGTGTGTGACAGGGGTCTCACTATGTAGTCTTGGCTGTCCTTCAACTTGTGGTGGTCCTCGTGCTTCAGCCTCCCAACTGCCAGGATTATAGTCCTGTGTCACTGAGCCTGCCTTGTTTCCTTTTCAAACATCACACCAGTTCTCAGTTAGCTGGGTGTGGTGGCACACACCTGTAATTCCAGAACTGGGGAGGCTAAGGCAAGAGGATTGCTGTGAGTTTCAGGTCAGTCTGAGCCATATATATATCTATATATATAGATATATATACGTATGTATATGTGTATATATATATATATATTTTTTTTCTTTGAGACAGAGTCTTGCTTTGTAGTGGAGACTGGCCTTGAACTCACTATGTAGCCCAGGCTGCCCTAAAACTCGTCCTTCTCCCTCAGCCTCCCAAGTGCTGAGATTATAGGCATGTGCCACCACACCCAGGTAAAAATATATTTATAAATATCTCTGTACATATAGTTGAATGAAGGTTTGTGAGATCTTATTTATTTATTTATTTATTTATTGCACTAGAGATTGAATCCAGGGCCTTCTCACTGAATTACATCCCTAGCCTATTTTTCATTTTTTCATTTTTGAGAGAGATTTGCTAAATTGCTGAGTTCCCCAGGCTGGACTCAAATGTGTTCCTTCAGTCTCAGCCTCCCAGAATGCTGGGATTATAGGCATGTGCCACCACACCCAATTTTCATGTATCAAAAACATCTTCCCATGCTGTTAAATATACATCTATAGGGCTGAGGATTTAGCTCAGTGGCATCCTGCCTGCCTTGGAAGCAAACAAGCACATGGTCCTGAGTTCAATCCCTGGTTGTGGGAAAAAAAACACCCAAAAATATACATCTATCACCTTTTTCCTTTTTTTTTTTTGAAACAGGGTCTGGAACTTGTGTTGATCCTCCTGCCTTAGCCTCTTGAGTGCTGGGATTACAGGCATGTGCCAACACACCTGGCTTCCTATCATCTTTTTTTTTTTTTTTTTTAATGTGGCTTTGAACTTACTATGTAGCCCAGGCTGGCCTCCAACTTGTGGGGATCCTCCTGCCTCAGCCTCCCAACTGCTAGGATTACAGGCATGCACCACCACACCTGGCTCCTGTCATCATTTTTAATGGTGTATACTGTTCCTTTTGTGGATGATTCATTGGTTTAATGTTCATATGTGGGAAGAAAAGGCAGACACTGACAGGGGACAGGCAACCAACATAAATGTGTAAATTGTTGGAATCAGGATCTATTTAAGATTAGAGAATTTAATACCCATGTTCAAATTCAAATCATAGGGCCAGGGATTTAGCTCAGTGGTTCCGCCGCCTGCCTCAAAAGCTCAAGATTCCAAGTTCGATCCCCAGTACAAAAAAATAAATTCAAATCACAGGGCCAGGCATGGTGGTGCATGCCTGTAATTGCAGCACTTAGGAGGCTGAGTTCAGGGGCAGCATGAACTACAAAGCAGACCTTGTCTAAAAAAAAAGATTCAAATCATAGGGCTGGATATACGGCCTGGTGGGAGAGCATATGCTTAGCATGTGACATGCCCTGGGTACAATACCTAGCACCAAAAAGTAAAATAATTTCAATTTGTGAAAAATACAGGCCAGGCCAGGCATGGTGACCTACATTTATAATCCCAGGATTTGGGAGAGTGAAACAGGAAGGTCATGAGTTGAGACCAGCCTGGACTACACAATGAGACCCTGTTTCAAAAAACTTAGAAACAGTCGGGCATAGTACTGCATGCCCATAATCCCAGCACCTAGGAGGCTGAGGCAGGAGGATTTCAAGTTTGAGCCCAGCCTGGGCAACTTGGCAACTTTGCAATTTTTCAAGACTCAGTCTCAAAATAAAGAGTAAAAAAGGACTGAAGATGTAGTTTAGTGTGAAGTTCCTGGGTTCAATTCTCAGTACTCTCAAACAAAAAAGTTAACACCAGATGACTTCAGTGACCATGAAAGGCATGGAGGTTTCTTTTCACCAGTAAGCAAGCAATTCTACTTTTGGACACCAGCTGGACGTTCTCCAAGTCAATTGTTTTTGACAATAGAGTGTTAGATCCCACAAATTGAGGGCACACCAATGTCAAGCCCCAGGTTTTACCAGTGCCTGGCAAGCAATCTACTGCTGAACTACATCCTCAGACCTTTTTATTTTTATTTTTATTTTATTTACTTATTTATTTATTTTTGGTACCAGGGATCGAACTCGGGTCCTTGTGCTTGTGCAGCAGGTGGCGAAACCACTGACCTAAATCCCCAGCAGCCCTTTTTAGTTTTGAGACAAGATCTCACTAATTTGCCTAGGCTAGCCTTGAACTTGAGAGCCTCTTGCTTCAGCCTCCTGAGTAAATGAGACTGCAGGCATGTGCCACCATGCCTGGCTCCTGATTACAGTTAAGAACAATTAAAGACGTCTCCTTTGTTGGTCTTAGTGGTGCAGGCCTGCACTGTAATCTTGGCACTTGAGAGGCTATGGGAGGAGCATGGCTACAAGTTGGAGGCCAGCCTGCATTCAAAACGAGATCTTGCTTCAGAAAAACAAAACAAAACAAAATTAAAAAGCGCCCCCTCTCAAAAAAAGGCTCCTAGGATTTCCCTTTATCCCTGGTCATTATTTCCACATTTTCAATCAAGCTCTTTGCATTTGTATGCTGTCTGATTCTTTCCCACTTAATTCCTTGAGATCAGGGACCATGTCTTGCCATTGTACCCCTCTCAGCACAATCCTTGGATCATAGTAAATATTTCCTAAATGATTAAATGCATTTAGTTTTAATCTCTGTGCTGTTTTATTCACATCTACCGAATTCAAAGTTTGGCTGGGGGTGTAACTCAGCGGTACAGTGCATGTTTAGCATGCCCCAACACACACACACACACACACACACACACACACACTCCAAATTTTCACACTACTATCCTTACTGCATGACAATTTTTTTTTTGAGACAGGGTCTCGCTGTGTAGTTCAGGCTGGCCTTGAAGTCACTATGGAACCCAGGCTGGCCTTGAACTCGCGGAGGCGATTCTCTTGCCTCAGCCTCCAAAGTGCTAGGATTACAAGTGTGCGCCACCACGCCCGGAGACAATTTTTCTTATTTTTAATTTCATCAGCATTTATATATCAAAACTTGTTGCAACTGCTTTTCGGAATAGCTTAAAGTTATACTTTTTTTTTTTTTTTGGTACCGGGGATTGAACTTGGGACCTTGTGCTTGCGAGGCAGGCGCCGGAACCACTGAGCTAAATCCCCGGCCCTTGAAGTTGTACTTTCATTATATCACAATCTCTTCAAACCATGAACGGCGACTCTTGAATCTACCAACAGCATCCAGTTAGAGATGATTAAGAGTCAAACATCTTGGGCAAGCACAAGGACCAGAGTTCAATCCCCGGTACAAAAAAAAGTCAACACCTGAGAGTGGAAGGCAAATTCCTGAGCGTGCGCACAAGGCACTCTTTGCCTTTCTACTCTTTTTTCCCTATGGAGCGTGCGCACCAAGAAAGACAAAGGTGGGGAAAGTGACCAAGCCGTCATTCAGGCGCATGCCCACCCATAGCGTACTCAAACCCGGAGGAGAAGTGGCCGATGAAGTGGGTGTGGCCTGGGCAGGTCGGCGGAAGGCCAATCCGTAGGAGAGATCGCGGCCCCCTTCCCCATGATTGGTCAGTTCTCAGTGTTGTGGGGCG